GGTTTCTGGGGGGGGGAGGAGGTCGAGGTATGAGGGAATAATAGGGCTAAGCTTTATCTTGGGGGTGGGGGGTTCGTGCTTAGGGTTGGGTTGGATTTGCTGGAGCTGGATCTCGGGGATGCGGGTCGTTGGCTGAGTGTGGTTCGTGCTTAGGGTAGTTGCTTTGTAGGTGTTTTCTTGTATGTGGGTTTGTTTTGGGTGGAACTTTAATGAGGTTGATGCATTTTTTATGCTCGGTGGGGATTGTGTTTTGTTTATAGTTCCCTTGATGGTGTATGGTGGTGGAAGCTTACCGCATGCTTGAAATGTGAAATGCACTCGTTTAAATGAGATTGATATACTGTTGTGTCCAGTTCAATCAAGATAATGTATAATATCAATTCAAACCATAATCATATACATAATAGGTATCAAACGGCCCAGACCCAAAAACGCCCTGTCGCAAATCTACAGACCCCCCACAAAAAAACACCCGAAACAAACACCTTTGGCCCTTAGCCTCATCACCCTCAGCCTCGTCACCCTCAGCTCAGCTCAGCTCAGCTATGCTGGAACTTCACCAGCGCATCCCGCACCAGGGCAATCACCTCCTGCAGCACCTCGGCCTGGCCGGCGTGCACGTCCACGATCAGCGCGTCCCACTCGTCGCCGACCACGGGCTCCTCCAGGTCCATCAGCTGCGACTGCACCATGCTGCTCTTCATGTAGTGGGCCTGCCGCTGCGTGACGCGCTGCAGCAGCGCCGTCGGGTCGACCTTGAGGTAGAGGAAGTGGATCTGCACCGCGGGCGAGCCGTACGCCGCCACGCGCATCACGTCCCGGTACTTCTTCTTCAGCGCCGAGCACGCCACCACCACCCCCGTCGGCGGCCGGTAGCCGTTCGCCTCCGACGGCGACAGCGCCGCGATCGCCGCCTGCCGCAGCGAGATCAGCCAGTCCCACCGGTCCGCGTCCGTCAGCGGCACCCCGTTGCTCATTTTGGTCTTGTTCGAGGCCGGGTGGAACTGTTCGGGGGTGAAGGTCAGTATTCACGGGCAGGCATTTCGAAGGGGTCGACTGGAGAGAGGGGGTGTTTTTGGGGAGAGGTGGACGTACATCATCGCCTTCGAGGAATGGCACCCCCAATTCCTCCTGCAGCCCGCGCCCAACGGTGCTCTTCCCGCACCCGGCGGGCCCGGTCACCACCCAGATGTGTTGGATCTGCTGCGGCGGGTGGGCCGCAGGCTGCTGCTGGGCTTGGTCGGCCCACATGGGGTTCGTGGTGGTGTGGTTGATGTTGAGCGGGGTGTCGACCACCGCGCCCTTGTTCTTCATGGCGGGTTGCGGGCGTTCGCCGGCGGAGAGCATGGTGGTTTGTAGTTGGGGAGTGGTGGGTTTGGGTTTTAAGGGGTTCTGGGACAATGAACGGTGCGCTGGGATAATTGGGTGTTATGACGTGCTCGGAATCTGTGGGATTTTGGTTGGAACCACAGTTGGGATTGTTGAAGTTGGAGTTGGAGCTTGTGTAGGAGCGGTAGAGTGGAAAGTGTGTGGTGTATGTATGTATGTATGTATGTATGTGTGTATGGATGGATGTACTCCGTATAGGTGGGTAAAAGTTGGCTTAAGTTCTCCCTGACGCAACAACCGGGGGAAAGACTGAGCTTAAGAAGGGCAAGAACAAGATCGGGGAAGAAACCACGGCTATCAAGCAGAAGGGAAAGGAAAAGACGGGAAATCAGAATGATGAAAGGGTTTCCAGGACGGGCAACAATACTAATAATATTCCCATGGGCTGGCTGTGGGTCAGTCACTCAGTCAGTCCGGGGGGGGGGGGCGTTATCGGCTTCAGAATGACACTGTTTCGTCCGGTCTGGCTGGTTTTTCCTGAATTTGCAACCTGATTGAATGTGATTGATCATTCTTCCCTACTCAGTTCCAGGATCCACCCCGGCTTCTGGGATCGGGTGTTGAGACAGCGCGCAGAATGGGCCGGATTTAAGGTATCAGAAGTAACTTAGAGGAAAGGACTTCCCACTCGTCATTTCATCATTCACCACTGCGGCGGCACTGCATTTGGAGTGGGGGGAAAGGGAACACCAAGAAAAAAAAAGGGTGGGGGAAAAAAGAAATAAAGAACCGTCTTTCTTTTCTTCCCTGAGACTCCGGCGGTCTGGTTGTTAGCGGGAGATCCGATCGGGCGTGGTATCGCATACGTATGCCTTACACCATTCTGTATTCTGTATTCACAGAATAGACAACTAGGCATCCACAGTACAGTGACGCAGCACCTGTATCACCTTCTCCGCCATTGCCATTGATCCAGATGAGACAAAAATCCCATCCATTGCTCCAATCATTGTTGTGAACAAGGGTGTTTCGGAGGAGTATCGGGTGAGATGACTTGCGCATGCCATGATGTCACTGGAGCTGTGATCTGTAACCGGCGTTTCGGAACAGTCGGTAAAATTCCACCCCGTGAGCTATTTTCCGACCAGGAAAAATGGGGGTTGCGTTTCTCTTTGTTCCCCCCACGCTATACCCTCTCTGGCACTAGCCGGCTGTTCCTGTCCTTTTCCATACACCTTCTTCGATCCTTCCAGAGGCTTTCCTCTCTCGAAGGCTCGCTCCAGTTCTACCTACTGTGGACCCGTTTCAGACACTTACACTTGCATGAACAAACCAGCAACACCAACAACAGAAACAATCACAAGTCGGATGGGATCACTGTTCATTCCGTTGATCTGTTTGCAGCAGCCTAATTGTCAAACCAACTGGCAACAGTATCACGAGGTCTCATCATCCTTCCGGCGGTGAATCTACCGAGACAGCAAGGAACAAAAAGTCCGGCCTGGGCCGTACCTTTTCCTTTTCCCCGGTCCCAACCATTGCGACAGATCGGATTTAAGCTTGACGGGGGTCATTTCCCTCTGTTCACAGCAGGACTCCATTCCCGTAGGTACACGTCGGTTGGTGTTACCTCTGGCCCAACCAGAGCTGGACCTTTCATCATCTTCCCCTCTTGTGAAACCCATTTGGCCTTGATCATGCGTCCCTCTTTACTCACCGCCGCCGACCAAAAGGAATGCGAAACTTGCCGAGTAACACAATGATTCCCTGACCTTGCACTCCCTAGATAGCTTTTCCAAGGTTAATGTTTCCCTGGCAGCTCTGTGCATGATCCGACTGGGGTGCATGGGTTCATGACCGGATTTCTGCCCAACGACCTCCTCCGTCAAGAGGCGAGAGAAATAACTTCAAGCGCCCTACGCTGACTGATTATTCCTTCCGAACTGGTGACTGTGTCCCCTCAAAAACCCCTCATTTATATAGACAGGTCATCCAATTAGAGTATCGATCCCGGACAGGAGGGGACGGATGACTTCCCCAGACTTTCGGAGCCTGATTCTGCAGCGCGAAAGGGGGAATATTCCCCGCTCCAGCGACTTGAGAGTGCGGTTATGCCCCGTCGATCTTGCCGCATGTCATTGGGACGAGACCGTGTATACAGACTTTCTTTGGAGCATCACGAGCTGTCGGCAGATCCGAGTAGGACGTCGCACATGACGTGCAGAGTACTGGACTATAAAATAAAGAACGTTCCATACAACCAGGGCTTCTTTGGCGGGCAGGCATGACGAAGGCGGTGAGTACGTAATCGGCGATAGTGCCAGCGCGTCCACCGCCGCCAGGCAGTCGAGATGCCGCCGAGGAGAGCTGCCCATCTCATAGCCATTCCTGTCCGGTAACTCTCATTCAATTTCATTTCCGCTCGGGTACACGGCTTGATTTGACGAGCCTGGAAGTGTCCAACAGCTGCCAATCAGATTCGTTCCACTACTTTACCCCCTGCAGCACCCCAGCTCCTGGACTCCTTCCCCCTCCCCGACGATGACCTCCCTCTTCTTCTCCACGCCGGTGGACATCGACGTGGTTCTCGAAGATAGCGATGAGCGCCAAACGGTCGACGTCAAGTTGGACAAGGGCCGTCGCGAGAGGGTCCCTCTCTACATGGATGGCGAGTCCGTCAAGGGAGCCGTGACCGTCAGACCCAAGGATGGAAAGCGGTTGGAACACACTGGCATCAAGGTGCAGTTTATCGGTACAATTGGTATGAGGCCCAGTTAATCCATCCGCGCGCGGGGGCATGTCCCATCTTTCCCCCTTTGATAGTATTACATGGTCATGCTAGGGTGCATTACACGAAGCTAACCCGCTCCTTCCCAGAAATGTTCTACGACCGCGGCAACCACTACGAATTCCTGTCCCTGGTGCAGGAGCTGGCGGCGCCCGGCGAGCTGCAGCACCCGCAGACCTTCCCCTTCAACTTCAAGAACATCGAGAAGCAGTACGAATCCTACCACGGCATCAACGTCAAGCTGCGCTACTTCGTCCGGGTGACGGTGTCCCGGCGCATGGCGGACGTGATCCGCGAGAAGGACCTCTGGGTGTACTCGTACCGCATGCCCCCGGAGACCAACAGCCCCATCAAGATGGACGTTGGCATCGAGGACTGCCTGCACATTGAGTTCGAGTACTCCAAGTCGAAATACCACCTGAAGGACGTCATTGTCGGCCGCATCTATTTCCTCCTGGTGCGACTCAAGATCAAGCACATGGAGTTATCGATCATCCGGCGCGAGACCACGGGGTCGCCGCCCAACCAGTACAACGAGAGTGAGACGCTGGTGCGGTTCGAGGTGAGTGCAGCTGGAAAAGATCTGGGAATGAGAATAGTGCTGGGAAATGCTAACGGCGCACGTTACAGATCATGGATGGGTCGCCCTCTCGCGGTGAGTGAGAAACGCTTCCTCTCTGGACGAGTCCAGCCAATGCTGACGATCCCTGCCCAGGTGAAACCATTCCCATCCGTCTCTTCCTCGGCGGATTCGACCTGACGCCCACCTTCCGCGATGTCAACAAGAAGTACTCGACGCGGTACTACCTCAGCCTGGTGCTCATTGACGAGGGTAAGTCGGTTACGCTGTCTCTTTCTATGTCTCCCCACCCGCCCATGCCTTGTTTTCCTTTTTTTTTTTTTTTTTTTTTTTTTTTTTTT